CACACACACACACACACACACACACACACACACACACACACACACACTTCCTAGGACCTGAGGAATTCCAGCCCTGCCTCACCCACACAAGGTCTGAAAGCAAGTGTTTGGGGAGCAAATGTCCAGGGGTGCCACATCCGTCCTGATCCACCTACCTGTCTGTTGAAAAAAAAAAAAAATCTGACCAAGGATATTTCACTGATCGAATTTATCAGCCATTTAAAAATGAAGATGTCAGGGGCCCGGGAAAAGGTTGCTGACGGTGAAAACCGCTCGCTCACAGGCCTGACACCTTGCTGAGCTCGGTCCCCAGAACCCACAGTGGAAGGAGAGGTGAGTTCCCCTAAGTTGGCGTCCCTCTGACGCCACATGCACACACTCTGGCCCAAGCACAGATTAGTGCAAAGAACAACAACTCAAATATTTCTGTAATTTTTTAAAAAGGATCTGTTCTAGGTTGTGATTGTGCATGGCTGTAATCAGGAGGCTGAGGCAGGGGGTTGAAGCTGAGCCTGGGCTATATAGCAAGATCCCCCAGAAACACTGACTGAGTAAATGTTTCAATCCAAGTTTCCCAGTTGGAGCCCTCAAGCTTTAAGTAATATATTGGTGTCCGGGTCAGTTAAAATCCATTACTCTAGAAATAAGTGACCAAACCTAAAAGTAATAGGACCTAAAATGCCCCAGTGTGGGGAAGCAGAATAAATAAAGCACGTCTATGAAACGGAGCCCACTGTTCACAGATCAGTCCGCATGCCCTTCTCCCGAGCCCTGGAGAGATGGCGGCCAGCCGGAAGACTGCTGCCAAAGGGTCACAAATGTAAGGCTTGTCTGAGCTACAGCAGCCCAGAGTCAAAGCCAGTCTGGTCAAGGCAGTGAGGCCTTATCTCAGAATATGAAATAACAAAAGGAGCTGGGGGCAGGGAGATGGTTCAGTGCAAAGACGCTTCCACCAAACCCGGTGACTTGTGTTCAATCCTGGGACCCCCAAGGTGAAGGAAAAACAAACAAACAAACAAACAAACAAACAAAAAAGCCAAAAAAACACCTCTTCTCTGAAAGTCATACCCACCCTCTGGTCACACTAAAGAAATAGATGTGAAAGCCTAGTTGGAACCCTCAGTACCACAAATGAACTAATGTGTCTGCATATGTGTGTATGTGCGTATACACATTACTTAGAGGTGGGAGAAACCAAGTGGGACATGGTGACACACGCCTTTGATCCCAGCACTTGGGAGGCAGAGGCTGGCAGATCTCTCTGAGTTTGAAGCCAGCCTGGGTTACAGAGAGAGTTCCAGGACAGGCAAGGCTAAATAGATCTTGTCTCAAGCAAGCAAAAGAATGGGAGAATAAACAAAGTTTATTCAAACTTTTGTGTATTTTGTTTGGTTGGTTTTTTGTTTGTTTGTTGCTTTCTGTTTTCTGAGACAGGGTCTTTGAAGCTCTCCTTGTCCTGGAACTCACTCTGTAGCCCAGGCTGGCCTTAAAAACTCACAGATATCCCTTTGCCTCTGCTTCCTGAGCACTGGGATTAAAGGCAAACACCATGAGTACATTCTAAGAAGTTTTGCTCAAAACCCTTCCAAATTGTCTAGATTTAAACTTTCAAAAATACTTATTTAATTATTTAGGTTGTCTGAGACAGGGTTTTCTCTGTGTAGTCTTGGCTGTCCTAGACTCACTCTGTAGACCAGGCTGGCCTCGAACTCACAGAGATGCACCTGCCTCTGCCTCCCAGGTGCTGGGATTAGAGGCGTGCACGGTCACATCCAGCTCCTTATTTCTTTTTAAATTGCTTGTGTGTATAAGGTGTTTTGCCTGCATGTGTACCCATTTACCATGTGCACACCATAAAAGCCAGAAGACACTGGATCCCTTAGAACTGGAGCTACCTGGGAGCTGCCGCGTGGGTGCTGAGAACTGAACTCCGGAAGAGCAGCCAGTGTTCTAACTGTTGAGCCATCTCTCCAGCCCCTTTAAGCATTTTTTTCCAAGCTGAGAGGAGTCAAGGATATTTAGTAAACTTTTTCTTTTACTAATATATGAGTTTGTTACATGTTTTGAATACCACTGGACTGTGTTTTACAAATCGTTCTACTAGTTGATGCCTTCTCCTCTTTTGTGTCTTGAGAAGAGGGGTTATGGGGACTGGAGAGATGGCTCAGAGGTTAAGAGCACTGGCTGCTCATCCAGAGGGCCTGAGTTCAGTGCCCAGCAACCCACATGGTGGCTCACAACCATCTAAAACGAGATCTGGTGCCCTCTTCTGGCCTGCAGGCGCACACTCGGCTCTTTTAAAGCTCCGTTTGGTGAGGTTGGCTGAGTTAGTTACTCTCCTCACTGCAGCAGTGAGGGGGAAAAAGGCATATACTGGCTCCTGCTTTAAAAAACGAACACACCCCGCCACGGTGGAGGAGCCTGGTGGTAGAGCAAGAGGGCGTGGCCACAGTGCACCTACAGTGGGTGTGCAGGGAAGACATGAATGCTGGCAGTCAGTTCACCCCGTTTTCCCTTTCCCCCCAGCCCTTGCAACGCTTCTTAAAATGTTACTTTACCAGGCAATAATCATCTTCAGGATACAACTAAACAGAACTGTGGCCCTACAGTTCAGCTACGCTGATTTTCTCCCTCCCTTCCTCCCCTTTCTTCTCAATCCAGGCTGGCCTGGGAATGGCTACGTAGCCAACGACTCCAAAGGCTCCATCCACCTGCCCCTGCCTCTTCCCTGCTGGGATGAAGGGCTTGCACTGCTTTGCTCAGCTCATGCTTGTTTCCCTTAGTGAGAGCAGTTAAATGTCCCAAATAAGCTTCTGGCTAGAATTTGTTGTGTTGAATCAGATGCAGGAGGGAAATGTTCCTTCTATGTGTAGAATTCAAGAAGCAGATTCCCAGTATAAAAGTATCTATAAAAATACTTCTCTAAATATATCCCCCCTAAAAACAGCCAAGTGGAGAATTCTGGACCTCAGGAACACTGCTTTAAAATGCTAAGAGGTTGCTTATCCGCTGACCTACACACACACACACACACACACACACATCTGAGCATACGTAATGCACAATTCTTTTTAATTTTTTATTTTTAGGGGTTTTTTTTTTTTTTTTTTTTTCAAGACAGGGTTTCTCTGTGTAGTCCTGGTTATCCTGGACTCATTTTGTAGACCAGGCTGGCCTCAAACTCACAAAGACACCCCTGCCTCTGCCTCCAGAGAGGCGTATGCCTCCACTGCCTGCCCCGACTCCTGGCTGAGACACTACAGATGTTACTGTGTCCAGATTCATGTGGGTTCCAGCCCCAGACCAGGTCTTGATGCTTATTAGCAAGCGCTTTACCTACGTACAAGACTGTCTTCCCAGCTCACAAGTGAGTTTAATGCTGACCTCAACTACTGAGTGAAATCCTGTCTTTTAAAAAAAGTTACAAAGGCCAGGCCTGGTTAGTGAAAACTTTTAACCCCATCACTTGAGAGGCAGAGCGAGCGGGTAGATCTCTGTGAGTTCAAGGCCAGCCTGGTCTACAGAGCTAGCTCTAGCACAGTCAGGACTACACAAAGAAACCCTGTCTTGAAAAACCAAAAGGAATAAATAAT